TATATATATATATATATATATATATATATATATATATATATAGTACAATCTGCATACAATATATAATATATAATATATAATATATATATATATATATAATATATAATATATAATATATATATATATATATATATATATATATATATATATATATATATATATATATTATATATATATATATATATATATATATATAAGGCAGATGAAATCTCGATCGTTTCGGCATATTTCGGCCTACCACAATGCACTGCTTCCGGGCCGGCAGGCTATTCTTGCCTAATAAACAGGCATAAGGCAAACAAGCAATGTGATCATCTTTCATCTTTGGTTTTCTTTTATGGAAAGCAGGAAAGCCATATAGCTGGCGTAAGTGATCAAACGGCATTTTGTCGATACGCAGTGGTTCGAGCGTTATACGCGGTGATTTCGCTATTATACGCAGTGGTTCGAGCATTATACGTGGTGCTTTCGCCATTATACGCGGTGCTTTCGCCATTATACGTGGTGCTTTCGCCATTATACGCGGTGCGTTCGCCATCATACGCAGTGGTTCGAGCATTATACGCGGTGCTTTCGTCATTATACGGGGTGCTTTTAACATATTAAATTTCCATATTCTTTCCATGTATATAATCTCACGATTGCTTAATAAATCTGGTAGGCCTATGTGGCTGTGGTCTGCAATGACAATGACATGCTTTTAAAAAGGTTTATTTATAAAAAGGTGACTGCACTTTGTGAGTTCTTAATATATATTATCATATAGTGTTGATTTACTAGTAATAAATCTGTGTATATAACATAGGTATATAAATTAATATAACGCGGCTGAAATGCGATATTAAAATCTTGAATGTGCCGTATGATTTAATTATGTTTTAGGATTTAAAGCCTTTAAAAATGCTTTGTCATTTGTATTTGTACTTGTACTGCATCACAACGCAGTGCGCGTAAGTGAACAGGTTCCACATGTGAGGTTGTCTTGTATCAGTATTTTTGCCTTCTTTGATAAACATTATTAATTAATTAAACACGCACCACACTCGCACATGTTAAATGTCACCTGCATGTCATCGTCATTGCCCTTTAACCCCTGGTCTAAATCATATGATTATTGAAGCAGGGCCGTTTTGACTTTGGGCCGTTTTGACTTTGGGCCGTTTTGACCTAGCACCGTATTTGTAGGCAAATTGTCTATACAATTTTATATACTAGATATCACAGCCATACTTGCCATTTTGGTCTTTTCCTCGCGTTAGATAAGTTGATAAGTACACTCATTCTGTTTAACCATCGTACCTGTTCGGCTGTCCCTCTTTCGATACGAAACTGTTCCTCTCAGAATTACTTTGTTTTAGCTTTATTCTCTACAGTTTATAGAGTTTTAAATGCGTCTGCCGGTTGAGAAACATAAAATAATAGTTAAAAATTGCCAATTAAAATACAATTATCAATGATGCCTTAAAATTGACGCTATATTTACAGCCATTTAAGCAAAACGTACTGAATTTCAGATATCATTTTCTCTTTGGCGTATCATCTAAAATCTCTTCATTTTAGCATTATTTTACAGATAAAGCACTATAAACATACTTTTTAAGGGTTTTTTTTTACCGATCAGAGAAACGTATCGAAAAATAAAAATTTTGATTTTAGTCATAATCTCATGTGGTATATTATACGCAATAGTTTTGAGCGCGTGTTACGTAACATACAAAAAATCTCATTTAAAGATTTGGGAACAATGCTATACCAAGGCAGCATTCACTACCCTGTGGGTAAACTAGTAAACAGTATCTATCGTGTCCTCTTTAGTATTCTTTATATAAAGAATACCATAAGGCAGTATATCCATTGAATTTGTAGTCGTGTTTGAAGCTGTTTAATAAACTCGAAGGACGTGTTTTATTAGGTCTAAAGGGCACTCGTCCTGTTCGTTTATGAAACAGTACTTTAAAATACAATTGCCAACAATTTTGGGAGAATAACTATTAATTAGTGGTACCCTGCGAGCAAAGTCCTCCCGTATTTCTTCTCGGCACGGCACGGAAAAGCGAGAGAGACTCTGCAGAACTTGTGTATAAATTCATTTGAGCATGCGCGAAGGTTGCTAAGCAACTGCTTATTTCCCAGAAGATTTATAAAGTAGTTTTCGGTTCGGTTGTTTCCGGCATCAGAACCGGTTATAAAACCAGGATCAAACCTGAAATTACGCATAATTATCCAAGTTTTTGGATTGTCGGCTCCACAAAGAATATACACAAGTTCTGCCGAGTCTCTCTCGCTTCTCCGTGCCGTGCCGAGAAGAAATACGAGGGGACTTCGCTCGCAGGGTAATAGGTAGTCTGAAGCAATAGAAAAAATTATGTCTAAAGTTCAGCAAGTTTTAATTATAGTAAATATGGCGTCAGTTTTAAAGCATCGTTGACCGTGATAATATTGTTCTTTTTTATATTTTATATTTCTCCATCAGTAGATGCGTTCAGGCAGTTTATAAGAAAATAAAGCTAAAAACAAAATAATTTTGCGAGATATTCGCCAAAAAGATTTTAGATTTTGCAGTTTGAACGCTCTTCATGCATCGCAAATGCGCGTGCGTAGATAAAAGTACCTCTTGGAATCCTTATATGCAATCCTTAATTTTCTTTTCAGTTTGATTTAGTTTGTGATGACTCAATCCTCGCCACAGTGGCAAGTATGTTCATTTTTGCTGGATGGATTATCGGCAGTATACTGTTTGGTTTCCTCTCTGACAGATTTGGGCGCAAAGTCGCATTCTTGGCTTGTGTTATAAACATTACTGTTGTTGCTCTCGCTGGCGCTTTTGTACAGAGTCTATGGCTGTTTATTATCATCAGATTCTTTGTTGGAGTAGGTATTGGTAAGTGAGGTATTTCCGTTTTGAATCTGCGAAGTAGATTATATGCTATCGATGTGTTAACTGTTTTCAGTGTTCACTGTTCACTTAGCCAATTAGCGACTAGTATTACCAAAAATTACGTAATTCCAAATCACAAATAGGGTGTATAGTGGATACGATGAGTTAAAGTGGTATCGAATCTTCTTGAAGTTTTTGGCGCTAGCTAGCTATGAGTCACCGAGTCACCTAAAAAATGTAAAACATGCAGGAAGACTAAATTAAGAAAGAAAATAGACTGTAGTTTTCTCAAAGCGAAAAGAGCATCCCTTCTTGTCTTACAGTGTCGTTAAAAGTGAAACGCTGAATTACTAACTTCAGTAACAGAAGTGTGTGTTATTAAACCACAAACATTTTTCATTGTGTACCTGTACTACCTGATCATGTTGGACCAAGGATATTTGTAATTCATAGGATTGGAGAACAATTGTGAGATAGGTTATAAAATTATAGTCAATGTGTCACTGTTTACGTGATTGAACTTTTGTTAAAATTGCTCGCAGAATATAAGAAATTATTATAGCATTTTAATGCCTCCTTCGTCGCTCGACTCAGTAAACCTAAAATCCTAGTTAAGGCCCTTCTACAGGTTTTTTTCAGGTACTTTGGTTTTTTACTGTACTGTACTATAAGAGTGATCTAGTATAAATTAAGGTTCAATGCTACTGTGCTGTTTAGGTTGCTTTAAAACTGCGCAAATTTAAGACTCGACTAAGTTTCATTCATATATTCATATTTCTACAGGTTGTTCTGCCTCGTTATTCATCATCCTTAGCGAATTCTCAGGCGTGAAGCACCGTGGAACTATGGGAGTTATATTCTGGTTCTCTTTCATATTTGCCTTATGTATAATACCGCTGTACGCACATCTTATTCGAGACTGGCGCAAGTTGACGATCCTAACGAGTTGTCTTGGTTTTCCTGCATTTATTGTTTGGTGGTAAGTTTACAAGCTTATCGCAGACTTGCTATACAGTGTGTCCCCAAAAAAGGCTACCCTTTGAAGTCAAGCGTTAGTGCCGCATGTTCGAATCTGAATGCTTTAACTCCCTAATGATCCCTGGAATGCGTAAAACGTTATAGCAGAGCATTTTTATGCATGCATTGCAAATTAATTGAAATTTGTTCCGCTAAAATAACACAGAATGGAATGCATGAATATACATGTACAGTGTGTCCCAAAAAAAGGCTACCCTTTGAGGTCAAACGCTAGTGCCGCATGTTCGAATTTGAATGCTTTAACTCCCTAATGAGCCCTGGAATGCGTAAAACGTTATACTGTACGTAGTCAATTATATTCATGCATTCCATTCTGTGTTATTTTAGCGGAACAAATTTCAATTAATTTGCAATGCATGCATAAAAATGCTCTGCTATAACGTTTTACGCATTCCAGGGCTCATTAGGGAGTTAAAGCTTTCAAATTCGAACATGCGGCACTAGCGCTTGACTTCAAAGGGTAGCCTTTTTGGGGGACACACTGTATAACGTTTTACGCATTACAGGGCTCATTAGGGAGTTAAAGCATTCAAATTCGAACACGCGGCACTAGCGCTTGACTTCAAAGGGTAGCCTTTTTGGGGGGACATGCTGTATACGAGACATTCTAAAACGACTTGTTATAGGCTTTTGGCTGCAGCGGACGTGCGACAAGGCTGCATCAAGAAACTGCAACAGTAATTCATATTAGTGGAATCATACTGGTATACTATTGTAAATGCTGTAATTTGATTGGCTACTCTACTGGCTATCTATTCCCCGATATATAGCGAGTAGCAAAACAATCATTTTCCTGGCGCATTTTTTGAAAAGAATAGCAATATTTTATGGATTATTGTGGAATATTTTCTGCTTGATCTCTGACTCTACTAAAATAATTAGATTACTCCTCTCGAGTTATATGAGGTGGTCGGTTCGGCCTTCGCCCTCATCAAATATCACCTCGTAGAAATCTCGACCTCGTAATCTGATTGTTAAAGTGCTACTGCAGCGAATTTTTGGACCTAGTTTTTTTTAGCTTAAATAAAAATTCAGTCGTTTAGAAGCATTTTCATATATATTTGACCATCATGCGATGCTTAGAAGTTGCCTAATTTAACCTCTGAAGTTGGGTATCGCGTGCGAACTTTTCCGCCGCCATATTGATGTCGTGTGACGTCATAAGATGAACGGAAACGAAGATATGAAGGTCGTATTTGTAGTAAATTATATGGCGCGTCAACATATTGCAGTGGAACTTTTGGCTATTTCACTTGCTTATGACGCAAATAACTGATTTTTAAAAATCGAAGAACAAGTGCTATATCGTATTGTTTATTTGACGGCGGAATGACGGATAGAGACTCAGATAATAGGGTCAGTACTGCATCTGGAACTGGAAGTCAACGAGTATGGACTCGGCTAAGTCGGCTTTGAAATACGATGATGCACCAGTTGCCTAACAGCTTTTATACACCTTCACTAGACGAAGTGATAGAGACATTATATAACGCTGCTGCAGATGGGCAACTACCATCTGTCACTGTGTTGGAGCAATCGAGCAATGGTACAATACCTGTAAAATTAGTGGTAAGTAGATCCTTTTTATTGCATATATATTTATATTGTATTGTGCTCGCCTCGGTATTGTGTCTGATTGTTTGAACACATCTGGTGTGTGCAACTTAATATTTATTATAAACTGGATTGTGCGTGACAAAAATTATAATAACGTTTATAAACACAACCATATTCATAGCCTAATAATTCGCAACACTCAAAATGATTTTGATTTTGTTTTTAAAATTAATAGATAGCGATACGTGTAATTGGCAATTTTGGGCTGTGGTTCTATTGATGGCTAGTTTTACTTGGATGGGAAAACAGAAGAAAATAATTTCCAACAACAAAGACACAGCTGCCTAACGTTTGAGCAGAAAAGCGGTCGACTTTAGTTGGATTAGGCAGATTGTGACTGAGTCAGTAATGTCAGTTAACCATTGAGTCAAAATTGTGCCACTGTGCAATATCACATTTACTGTAATATTTTGAAATTATATTAATCTTCAAAGTAACCAGTTAAGTTGCATCCCTCATATATGTTTTGTGCACAAATATATTTCTCACATAATATAGCGTACCAGTACAATATTATACTATTGTATTATTATATTTATTGTTACTTTATATTATGCAATATGTATTATTGATATAACTGAATATAACTCCAATGGCATCGTTTCTCTCAAAATGTCATCAGATGTCTCAGTGACGAAACTAGGTCAAGGCATGCTGACTTGTTGTCTTTATTTCAATCTCAAGATGCTCTGGACAAGAAACTAACTTAACAGGAGATAGTCTTTTTACAACCACAAATGATCTAAAACATAAGAAATGTTGAACACTTTAGACTAACTATATAGCATCATTTGCGCAAAATATTCACCATTTGTGCGAACATATTAATTTGTTACCTGAAATATTTGCTTTGTGTCTAGTTGTACTTTACCCAGGGGAACAATTCTAGCCATGTGAATTGTATAAACAGTTTCTTCCTTCAGTATTCTTTCCATTTTACGAGGTTTTGTCAATGAAAATAAGATATAGCACGAATCTTCAAAACAGGCTCAAATCAAAACACTAGGTTCGCAGATGCGTGAAAACCCGTGGTCAATGTTTACGGATAAAATTCACTAACTTTCTTTCAAACTGTGGATCTGTTTCTTTGTTGGGAAATAGATGCATGGGTATACCTTCAGGCTGTTCAGAATTCGTGCAATAATCTAAGTTAGAACTGCCAGAAACACGGCCTTCGTCTCCGCGTTTGTTGGTTTTACTATAATTTTAAATACGCCATGATGAAATCGTGTTCATCTTATGACGTCACATGGCATCAAAATGGCCGATCAAAAGTTCGGACAGGAAGTGCCAAAAATGGCCACTTTGGAAGGCTATAAAATCGGTTTGAATTGACCAATTTCAATTCTGTTTGTGGTAAACTGGTCAGGGAGGAAAGCACTTTTAATTAAGCTAAAAAAATGAGGGTCGAAAAATTCGCTGCAGTAGAGATGGATTTAAATATTCTTTTATGCAAATACTTAATAAGCCTTCCCGGCCTCTTAAATTTATTCCTTCATAATACTACATTAATTGAACAGTTCGTAGCCAACTGTAGCAAACTTGGTAAAACATATTTTTGGCAGGCGATATCAGGTTTTGTTCGCATGAATACATGTGCCCAACTTGTTGACAAGTTGTACACACCTAAAAACGCGCAAGTTGTTACATATTTGCGAACAAATTGTAAAAAGGTCGTTGTCAAGCCGATATCAGGATGTGTTCGCACTGCTTGTTCCCACTTGTCGTGACAAGCCTGGAACAATTTGTTATTATCTTGTTACAAGGTTAATGATGGTAACAGACTGTCGGACTTTCTACAAGTTGTCACAACAAGACTAATACAGGCTCTTCGTAACTAGTTGCTACGAGCTTGTTGTCATCAACTTGTTAAAAACTTGTTGCGTGCAGACGATATCAGACGTGTTGGAACAATTTGTTGCGAGTCTTGGCTTCAACAACCTTGTCACAAGATGATAATAACTTGTTCCAGACTTGTCAACAACTGGGAAAAGGCAGTGGGAAACATTTTGTTGAGAAGCTGTGAGAGTTTTACGCGTGTAGCAGACGCGTGCGCAGCAGATTTTTTCAATGTTGATAATTTAATAGGAAACAGTTGCTCCGAGAAATGAAAGAATAGAAATACCTTCTTTTTAATATTCTTTAGGATATTTCCAGAATCAGTGCGCTACTACTTGATCACAGGGAAGCAGGAGAAAGCGCGAGAAGTGTTGGAAAGAGTTGCGCGATACAACAGAAAACCCATGATTGAGGATAAACTGGAGCAAGTTGCCGCAGAACAAAAATCTTCTTTGAAAGATTTGTTTGCCACTCCAACTATCAGGAAATATACATTGTTGTCTTGTTTTATTTGGTGAGTAGGCGATGTTTCTCACTGATTTACTATCAGATTTTTGTATTGGTAAATAACAGGATTTTGAGCATCTCACTTGATCGAACTAATAGACAACTTGTATGTTAGACTAATTTTTGATTTATGCAAAAAGAAAGTAAATTCCAGTAAAGAGCTTATTAAAATCAGTAAAATTGCAAAAATTGTTACCATTTTTGAGCCGAAAATGTTAACAATTTCCGCATGTAATACAAATATACTGAAAATATGCAAACTTCGCAAGGCTATATTTTCTGTATTTTACAACATTTCGCAACCAAATTTTGCACTTTTACTAATTTCATTATGTTCTTTTTAACTGTTGTGTTTGATTCCCTTCTTCTTTACTTAGATTAAAATTTAATCTAACATGCAAGTAGTCCATTGTCGAAGGGCTTTTTTATAGATGGAAATTTTGAGTGTAAGTTCTATCATCTATTAGACCTAACCGGGAACAGTTGCGAAAAATTCAACTACAGTCTCTACCTCTGCGGCTCTGCGATTCCGGTGCAGCGCTCTAACCAACTGAGCTACAAAGTGCATGCACTAGTTGTCGAACTCTTACCGCAAGTTGTATAAAGCTCGACAACTGGACTCTATAGCTCAGCTGGTTAGAGCGTTGCACCGTAATCGCAGGGCCGCAGGTTTGATTCATGCTAGAGGGCTCGTAGTTGCATTTTTCGCAACTGCTCTTGGTTAGGTATAATAATGTATAAAATTTACACTCGAAATTTCCATCTACAAATTACCTTTCAACAATTATCTTTGTATTATCTATTTTAGAAGTTTTTCCGTGCTTCGTTCCATCCAATCTGTATTCCTTTGTTTTAGTTTCATTCTTTTTTGTTTTCTTCGTTTCTTCCACCATTTTCTTCCATCTTTGCTAACATCTTTTCATTTACTATTTTAATGATTTATCTTTCACCAGCTACTTTTATATGTGCACATCTACACGTACTCTCATTTTCTTTCATGTCTAATTTTTCCTTCCATCTGCCTTCTCGTCCTTGCTAAATTATTGCCTAATCCTTTCATTAATCATTCTATTCTTTCTAACATTCGGTGTTCCCTTCCATCTACATTTCTTTACATCCTTTCGTCCTTTTACGTTTCTTCAGTCTTCCATCCTATGTTTCCTAACGCTTTGCCTTTCGTCCGTTGCTCCCTTTTCTCGTGTGTTCTTCCATCCTTCTTTCCTACCTGCTTTCATCTTCGTTTTTTTTCTTTCAATCCTTCTATTTCTTTCGAACCGTCGTTCTTCCTTGCTCTTATCTTTCTTCCATCGTCTCAGGCATCTCATATTCTTCCTTGTTCTTCTCTTTATACCTGAGTTGCCAATTTCCAAATAATTTTTTATCTCTCTTCTTTCCTCCCTACACTATATTCTTCTTTTCTTCCTTCCATTTATTCTTTCCTCAGATTTTCTTATTTTCTCCACTAATCGTACTCTAAGATTATATTTCGGGAATCTTTCTTTTTCTAAGATTATATTGTCCATGTCATTATTCCCTAACTCATGTTTACAATTTTTAACATTCTTTCTTCAGTACATACTCTCTCTTTTCAACAGGTGTATTGAATCAGTTGTCTACTATGGTGTCTCATTTTCGTCTGTCTTACTTGGTGGTAATATATATCTAAGTTTCTTTATCATTAACTCAATGGAGTTCCCGGCAACTTTTTTGACAATTTGGACTATTGAAAGGTAATGTTACTTGCACCTTTTTGTTATATGGAGATTATCTACTTTGTGTGTGTGTTGTATTCCCTGTTCTGTGTGATAACACAGCAAAAGTGTTTTATTAGAAAGGCTAAGATACGCCGGTTCCAGTTTACTGCATGCACAGGCGACATACACGTACTGTACCCGTGAATCGGGGTACGATTTGCAACTTAAGAAGTGCAAATTAATCCGGGGGTAAGGAAAGGGTATTATTAGTTCGCTTAAGTTTTAGTCCAATATCATTTCTCCAGATTTGGCAGAAAATGGACAACATTGGGTGGAATGATCTTGGCTTGTGCCGCATCGATCCTCGGCGTCGTGTTCAGAATGCATCAGGATTATGTTTATGACGGTAAGCTTCATATGAAACCTGGATCCACCCGTAGGGATAGTCTAGAGTTATAGAGTTATGCTATTGATGTTTAGGTTTCCTCTTAGCCGTAATAAGTGAACAAGGGATGTGTTAATTGTCCTTATTTGCAAGGTGAACCGGTTCAGCTGAATTAGCTGGACGTATATCAACCTAATTGAGTCGAATGCTTACTAAGGATGCCACTGGAATACATGAACTTGCGGTTAGAGCTTCGACAAATGGACTCTGTAGCTCGGTATAGAGCGGTGCACCGAAATCGCAGGGTCGCAGGTTTTATTGCTACTAGAGGGCCTGGTTGCATTTTTTGCAACTGCTGCTGGTTTGGTCTAATAAATGTATAAAATTTGCACTCAAAATTGTCATCTCTAAAACCCTTCAACAATTATCTATGTAAATAAATAAAGTTAGTTTAGGTTGTTAGTGCTTTTGGTTGTCCTGAATTCTCGCCTCCCTGAGAAGTATCCAGGGCAAATCACGATAACAAAATAATAATAACTTTATAATAACTTTATAATGATAATAAAATACAAATCTCTCTCACTGATTTCTCACTGTTTCTCTCTCGCTGGTTAGTCTCGCATGCTTGTTAATCACGTGACCCATCACAAAATATGTCAATGTTCGTCTTGGCTTCGTAAAGCTCCGTAATGAGCCCAGTTCGCTACACACTCCCCCATGTATACTCTGAGAGTTTACATGTCACAATACGAACTGGGTAACTAAGTAATTTTATGAATAATATAAATGTTTATTACGAACTAATTAATTGTCTCGATAAGTGTTCACATAGCAAGTCTCTGCAATCTTTAATTAAAGTTCCTTTTCATCCTCTGCAATGTCTCTTATGCGTAACGTAGCTGCTGCTGCAGCATTTCGCTTCTGTCTGGGTGTGAACTCTTGTGCATCTGGATCTAAACGAGTTGTAATCTCTTTATCGCATTGTAACTCTAACGGGAACAAGTGTTGTATCGCGCGTTCCAGGTAGTTATTACCACCAGCAGTTTTAAGCTTAGCTGCCCGTATTACACCGTCTCTGCCCGTGATAAGTTGCTTAACTATGGCAAGTTTCCAGGTATTTCTTGGTTTTTGATCTTCCTTTACAATCACTATCTCTCCAACTTTGGGATATTGCATTGATTTTGGTCTAGTCATTCGGTGTTGCTCACGAAGACCACGCACATATTCTCTGGTCCACCGATTCCACATCGCTTGTTTGCATTTTAACAGATGTTTGGCTCGCTTTCTGAGATCTTTCTCTTCGATGTGGTGCTTTTCTAGTTCGGGAATGTAGGTGGGTTGGGTGTGGAGCATACCATTGGGTGTGAGCACAGGTAACTGCACATCATCCTCTAAGTAACACAGGGGGCGATTATTCATCGCTATTTCGATATCTAACACGACTTCTTCGAGTTCCGACCACGTTAAGATACCATTGCCGATTGACTTATAGAATGAACTCTTAAATAACCCAATTAAACGTTCAAATTGTCCTCCCCACCATGGGGCCCGACTTAAGTTGAAACGCCATTCGATCGACATGTTTGCTAAGAGACTGTTTAGTTTCTCATCTTGTCTTACTAGTTGAATCCATTTTGCGGCAGCTTTAAATGTCATTGCATTATCGGAATAGATTAACTTTGGTCTTCCTCTCCTCGCAATGAACCTTTTTAGGCTCATGATGAACTCTTTCGTATCCAACGATCTCACAATATCAAGGTGGACGGCTCTTGTTAGACTACACGTATAAAGCACAAGATATGACTTAGCTTCCTTCTTCGACTTTGTTACGTACTTGATAGGTCCGGCAAAGTCCACCCCGATCACTTCGAATGGTACTGCGCCTTGTGTTCTCGTAGTTGGTAAATTTCCGGGGGGTGGTACTTGATAGGCCTTGGCCCGGAATCTCTTGCAACCGTTGCAGTGTGATCTGATGTTCTTGACTAGACGGCGAAGCCGAGGAACCCAGTAATGTTCACGTACTTTCGCCATGGTTGTACTGACTCCCCCGTGTAGAGTTGATAGGTGCGCTTCACGAACTAAAGATGACGCGAAAGGATGGAAGTCTGGTATATAGATGGGATATTCTCCGATAATTCTGCCTCTACACTCCAGAATTCCGAGGTTGTTCTCCTGTAGGTTTAATCGCTCTCGGTCGGCTAAATATCGTGCATCGTGTTTGACTGCGTCTTGGGCCCGTCGTATCCACCATTCTCGTTGTTGTTGAACCTCGCGACTGTTGATGGGACCTTTCTCTCTCTCTGCCGGTTGTCGTTTACAATTCAGAATGAACCGTCGAACCCACGCTCCAATTCGTAGCACTTTCGGTAAAGGATATTTATCAAGTAGTAGATCCATGATGTCTTCTTCAATGTGCGCAGCTTTGAAGATTTCTTTAATCACTTTCGCTTCTGATTTGCTATCTGATGTCGGTTCCAGAACTCGTTGAACTGGCCATTCTGCAGGATTGTTTAACCATGATGGACCCTCTTTCCATAACGTGTTCCCAGAGACCTTTCCTCCCCGACTTCCGATGTCGGCTGGGTTTTCCGCTGTTGGAACGTGATGCCAAGTAACATTCTCGTGCTGACGAATCTTTTGTACTCTGTTTGCCACAAATTGTCGGTATTCACCTTGATCATTGATCCAGTACAGAGCTACGGATGAATCGAGCCAACAATGAACAGTTGCTGGATGAGTAGTGAGAGCTTGTTGAACATTTGTGGCTAGGTTTACAGTCATGTGTCCCGATATGAGCTCAAGACGTGGAATGGTCAAGTTTCGCTTCGCTATTCGTGACTTCGAACATACCAATCCCTGGGTAACTCCATCCTCTTGTTTGACTACTGCATAGACGACTGCACAAACGCCGTTTGAGCTCGCGTCTCCGAATCCATGCAAGGTGATCTCTTGAATTGGTTGATGGTATGAGGCTAAGGACCGAGGGATTGTATAGGACTCGAGCGCTTCGTTCCATTCCTTCCATTTCTTTCGTAGTGGCCCTGGTAGGTCTGCGTCCCATGGAATTTTACTGTCACACGCACTCCGATAAACAAGTTTTCCGGTCAGTGTGGTTGGTGAAGCCAAGCCCAGGGGGTCGTAGATTCGTGCCAATTTTGACAAGATGCTTCTCTTAGTTACAGGTTCAGCGTCTGTGGTGAGGGTCACGCTAATAGTATCGTGCTTCCTATCCCAGGGCACACCAAGTAGTTTCCCATCGGGCTGGTCGATCCCTGCCAGTTGACTTTTGGCATATGTTAGTTCACTTATCTCTGATGACGATTGATTCTTTGGCTCGAGTTCAGGTACGTTTGAGTGCCACTTGTGTATTGTGAAAGTGGCATCGTCGAAAACTTCGACAGTTTTCTCCTTCTGGGTCTGGATTTCTGCGACTGTGGTACCCCCCGTAATCAAATCATCAACATACAGTCCTTCGCGTAATTGCTTCACTATCTCGGGGTAGCGCTCTTCCCAAGCATCCAGATGGTGTTTAAGGACTCCCCCGAGAAGGAATGGGGAGCAAGTCAGCCCAAACAGGGCTCGAGTAAACCGGTAGATTTGTATTGCATCGTTCCCAGTCTCTTTCCAGTGAAATCGCAATGAATCTCGATCTTCGGCCTTTATTCTGATTTGCAAAAAGGCCTGTTTCAAATCGCCTGTTAACAGAATGGGGTGAAATCTAGATCTAACAAGGACGTCCCATAACAGGTTCTGGAG